CATCATCACAAACATCATAGGTAGAAGCTTTAAATCTTTTCTTTTTTGATTTCCCATCACTCACATCACAAAGATGACTTGAAGAATTAGACTGCCTGGTTGCATTAACTGAAGAACTAGGATGAGTTGTCACATGATTAGAACCATCAGTAGAAGACTTTGAATACTTGTTTGTGAAAGAACTTTATGACTAATTTTCAGAACTAGAGTGAGTATCTTTGAAATTACTGCAAGACTTAGTAAATAGAGATTTTGATTTTTCATAAAACATTTCAAGTCTTGCAACCTCCTTTTGAGTTTGTTTGAAAATCCAGGCCATCCTCTTCTCTTGGCGTTTATTAAGAACATTACCTTTCATTCGGTTTTTCAAAATGAGAGGATGTGTCGTTTTCTTTAGAAACCTGTTAAGAAGGAGATCAGGTAAAGTCCCCTTTTCTTGAAAATGATTTTTCTTGTTGTTCTTTTTGAAAAGGGAATTATCAGGAGTTTTCGAGCCTTGAGAGGATTGATCAGTTAATTTTGAAATTTTCTTCAAAAAGTCTTCCTTTTCAGATTTAAACTTTTCTCGTTCTTCTTCAAAAGAAGAATGGAGATCAGCCATTTTCTTTATAATTGCAGGAAAATATGGTTCAGAAACCTTAGAAGTGGAGGCTTCTTCCCCATTGGACACAATTTGATTTTCAGGAGGAGAGAGGGTAATATAGTCATCAGAAAGAGGAATTTGTCTAGTAGCATAGCTGTCATTAAGAGCAGTATAATCGATACTAATTTCAGCTTTAGCCCTATTTTTCCTTTTATATATATCCTCTTCTTCCTCAATAGTTTCAGAAGCACTGGTAAATTTCATCAGCTTAGTTAACCCTAACTTCATGTACCTTATGTCGTACAATTGAATGCAATCAACCTTTTTCAAATTTTCAGGGTTTTGAAAGCCAAGTCCTTCTCTAGGATTGTAAAATTCAGTGTCCTTTGGTTTGTTGTTAAGCAGAAAAACAGTTTGTTCTGATTGGCCTCTCTTAGCAAGAATATCCTCTAACTTCTTAATTTTTGAATAAAGACGACCACATTCCTTGTTAATCAGTTCAAAACGGGTAACGGCTTCAGAACGTTTTTGTTTGTTTTCTTCTAGTTTCTTAGTTAATTCACAGACAGTTTTCTTGAGTTTAGCTACTTCAGACTCTAAACTAGCGACTTTATCTCGTGAATCTTTTAAGCGTGCTGATTCTAAAGCTTTTTCTCTCACTTGAGTTACCAGAACTGCAGAACACTTTTGTTATTAGCAAGTTTATCTTCAAGTTCCTTTATTTTATTGGAATAAGAAGTACTTATCTGGAACTTGTCAGATGTTGTGACTGATCCGTTGTTTGAAAGCATTGATGAGTTGGAGTAGGAACTCATCGTAGAGTGATGATTGATCGTGGGATGAGAACTGTTCGGATTAAGAGTGGCTTGAGATTATGGTCACGGGTAGGAGGCTTGAATTTCTTAATCTCGGTAGTAGGTACGAGATCTTCAAAATTAAAGGATGCCCGAAGTCTTTAGATGCGAAATATGGGAGTCCCGAGATGTGAATTATTAGGGAGGTCCGAGATCTTGGTTTGATGGAAACTTTAGTAAGTTTCCTGGTAGTGGGATTTGGAAAGGAATTTACATAGTGGAGAAACTTGGGTATAAATAAATGAGAGCTGGTTTGATTTGGTGGGGGTAATATTTATTAAAACAATTTTGCTATAGGTACCCCATAGTTACCCCATTTCCTATCTCATATAAATATCCTCCCAAAAATTTACCCCCACTCCCTCATCTTCCTTCCCCCTCATCTCCCTTTCATCTCTCTCTTTTCCAGTCAGCCCTTCTCCCTTTCATCTCCCTTTCATTTCCCTCAGTTAAGCCCCCCTGCTTGGTTCCGGCGAACACCCAAGCAGGTCCGGTGGCAAGCTGGCATCTTCTCCGGCGACACCTGATCGCCGTCCCAGTAATTTCAGTACCGACCAGATTTAAAAACCTTCCACACCTTCTGCACCAACTTGTAATTTCAGTTCAAAACCTTCAAATTCCAGCGAACATAACTTCGAAACATACATGTGATGGTTCAGATCTGTTAGCTTTGGTTCAGATCTGTTAGCTTCAAAATCTAGTGAAAAGAGGGGAGCGAGCGACGACTGGACGGAAAGAGGAGCTAGCGGCTGGAGCAGCTGAGCCCTCGCACGCCATGGTCTTTTTTCCTCATTTTTTGGTATTATTTTGTCCAACTCCACATGAAAAACAGTTGTCTGTCTGACAGACAAATTTGAATTGCAACGTCTGTCTAGCTGAGCATAGTTTCACAATTGGTGGAATCTTACATAAGATGTCTGTCTGGAAAGAGCTGCTGCACATGTGAAGAAACAAGGCAGCCTCATTTGCCCCATTTGCTGCTCAACTTGGAAAGAGTTGCCTGTGTTTGAAGATTCTCGAAGTTGAATGCTCTCATAGTTTTTTTGTTGTATTTTTGTTTGTTTAAAATTGGTTTGTAGTTGTCTGTGAAGTGAAAAGAGTTGTCTGGCATTCCATTTGATTTGTCTGTAATGTGAAGATAGTTGTCTTTCTGGTGAAATTGTGAAGTAGTTGTGTATATTTAGATTGCTCTGTGATGATATTGAGATGTCTGGCAAGGCATATTAGTTGTCTGGCACGTTAAATCCAATTGTTTAAAATTGGTTTGTAGTTGTCTGTCATGTGAAAGTAGTTGTCTGACATTCCATTTGAGTTGTCCGACAATTTATTGCAACAAATTATTTGTTGTGAATAGATAAACAATACATATATCTAGACAGACATTAGAGATAATCATACATACATTATTTTCACGTAGAAAGACAATAACTTTACACATACAGACAATACCATAGATACCCATACATAGAGTACTTAATTGGCCCAGACTACTAATGTCTGGCCCAGACAAAATTTGTCTGGCTATACGACAAAGAGTACTTAATTGACCCAGACTACTAATGTCTGGCCAAGACAAAATTTGTCTGGCTGTAGGACAGAGAGTAGTTAATTGTCCCAGATTATTAATGTCTGGCCAAGACAAAATTTGTCTGGCTGTAAGACAGAGAGTATTCTTTATTCTAACAGGAAACCTTACTCTTCTCCTTGTAGAGATTACATATGTAATTCATTCATCACATGTGTCTTCACATTACCAATACAACGATGTTTCAAAAAAAAAGGCACACACATTTATATAAAAACTACATTACCAATACAACCATGTTTCCAAACAAAATCACATTCATTTAAAGTTGTCTGGCCACACACACATTTTATGTATGACTCTAACAACTATAAAATCACGTCAACTTTAAACAACTATGAAACCATGTTCACTTTATGCTAGACAGACACTGCAGTTCCAAATTGTCTGTCCGCCAAACAAAATACAAATAAATGGCGAAAAACAACATATTCTTCTCCTAGACTAACAAATACAGACACTGCACTTACAAGTTGTCTGTTAGACAGACAACCCTTTTTTTCTAAAACGCACCAAAAAATCAAGAAAAAAATCAAGAAAAGTAGATCTGCTCCAAGTCATTCAAAGCTTCTTGGTTTGTACTTTCATCGTTGTCTCCCCACGTCACCAAGCTCTCCTTTTCGTTCGATTACTGTAGCTCTTCCATTTGAAACGAAAAAAATAAACCGACGAGGAGAGAAGCAGGAGAAGAAGCTTGGAGGGAGAAAAGATTGAAAAAATGAGAAGACTTGATGGTGAGAGATCTTGAAATGGAGAAGAAATCAAGTTTTGGAGAAAATAGAAAGAAAGGGGAAGGGAGGGGCGTGAAAAGAGAATATGGAGGAGAGAGGGAGGGAAGAAGAAGAAAAGTGGGGGAGGGGGAAGGGTTTTTGGAAAAGGGGTAAAAGGAATGGTAAAAAAGAATGTATTTATATGGGGTAGGGAATGGGGTAAAGTTGGGGTACCTATAGCAAAATTGTTATTAAAAAGGGGATTACGTGAGTGGAGGGGTAGAAGTTTGGTAGTGGGGGGAATGTTTGAGTTAGGAATTCGTGAGTGGGGAGGAATCTTTGTTATGGGATTTCGGGGGTGTGGGTATGTATTTTGAACTAGCGAACTTGGGCTTTCTTCTTCAAAGCAGATTTCGGATGCGGCCTTCACTATTTCGACAATTTCAAGATCTAGGACCACCCGCTGAATCTTAAGATCTCGGATGTCCTTTTGGACTTCGAAAGGCCTTCACTCTTTCCAGATTTCAGATGTTCGAAATCTTGAGATTTCGGATGACAGGTTTAAAATAAAGATTTCGGGTATGTGTGATCTCAAAGATTTCGAATCAGCGAGATTTTGGTAACTCAAATTGTAGTGGGATTCTTCTTTCGTAGCTTTCCTTGTAGCAGTAGCCTTCTAAAATCATCAAGTTTTCAAAAACAAATCTAAAAATTAATCTGACCAAAAATTGTGATTTTGATCAAATTAATTCCAGAAAAATTCAAGGATTCTAACAAACATAATTACGCCGTGACTCTGATACCAATTGTGTGAACGTAGCCCAGATACAACAGTCGAATAATCTAAGAATAATAGAAAGAAATCAAATGGTAGAAGAGAAATTCAACACTAACATATACCGTGTATTCATAATGATGATTTGACGAAGAACAAATACACAGTACTCGAATGAATAAGCTAAAGAGAATTTCTATTCTACTGGCTCTACAGAGAATAATATGCGGAATGTAAAGTGTAGAGACTTAGTATTCTAGAGAGAGAGAGCTTCGAGAATGATATGGTTATTCTAATTGTAAAACCCTCTCGTATGTTCGGTCCATTCATCCTATATTTATAGGAGTATGGCCGAACATCCTTGTTACATTAGGATGTGTTGAATGATCTCTAATTAAATGGCCTTAATTAATTACTTAGGCCCACTAATTAAATCCTAATTAAACAAAGATAAATCTAATTAAATTGAACACAATAAAATATATCCTAACAGCTCCCCATGGACCCTTTCTTGGTTATCGCTACACTTCCCTATATAAGAATCACCCTTTGAACCCTAATCGCTTTCCTCATCCCGTTTTCCAGCTTATCGAGATTATTAACCGAAAGCGCGTCGTAAGCATCCCCAAACTGTCTGGAAGCACTAGAACCTTCTAAAAGGGCAGTGACTCCGTAGACGACATCAGCAGCAGAGAGTTTTGAACTGCACCCATGCAATAAAAAAAACCCGCGGTAGTAGAAGTCAGTTAGTCCAAATTCAGGTAAATATTGGACAAACATGTCCTTCATCCTCCTCTTGATCTTCACACTCATATACTCAAACTTCTGTTTACACTCGTCATAGGCGAACCCCATCCGCCCCAAAAGAAGTTGCATCTTTTTAATACCATTTCACTCCAAGTCTTCAGTTTGGTAGCAATGTAGGACGAACAGAGCATTGAGTCAAAAAGATTCCACTCCTATAACAACATTAGCCTTGGCTCATCGTCATATGAAATTCTAGACGAATCTGGGGTGGATACCTTAGTTCCGTCTTTTAAGGTGACTGAGGTAATAGAGGAGTCTAAGTTGCCGGAGCTGTTGACATGTTGCTCAAGTTCCATAACGCTAGCTTGGTATCTCTCATCAGTAAGCCTCTCATGAACAAACTGATCAGTCAAAGAAACACATGCTAACCAAAGCATCTCCTTTGTGTTTCTTCTTAAGAAATGAGAGAGTTCGTACATTAAGCATCCATATGGTTTACCATGGAACGTGCCCATATAATAGTATTCTTTTTTCAGTTTCTTGAAAAGCTTAACAGGATCATCACCCCCTTCTTTTTCTCCAGAAACCCTCTTCTTCTTCTTCTGAGTTCCTTCCACGTCATCATCATCATCTTCTTCTTCACTCTCACTTTCAGAGTCATCTTCAAATTCATCATCACTGTTCAAATCACTTGCATTTGCCAAAGCTGAAACATCAAAATCATACGATAAATCTGTCTGTTGCTCATCATCCCTAGTGTAAAGAATAATTACCCTATCATTCTCATTGCATAAATTGTGCAAATGGATAGGCCTGTGACTATCAACAACAAAGACTCGGGTCAAAGGACCAATGTCCAAAATCTTTGGGAGATCCCTTTTTTTTTATTCCCGGAAGGTAAACCACTAAAAGTGGGGTAAATGCCGAGGAACACTTACCAAATTTTATTAGATAGAATAAATAAAGCGCTAGAGGAAAATAAATAAATAAATGGAAAACAAGGCAAACTAGGCTAAAGATTATGACTTTAAGCGCGTTTGCGACCTAGTCTGCATAGAAGAAACTTGTGAGACAACTTTTTTCTTATTACGCCGGGAGACAACTGGAGTAAAATCGTCTTCAATGGCCTCCAAGTTTGCAATCTCAGCAACCAAAGCCGTTGCGTGGAGTTTTCAGACTTGTGAAGAGGTTCTGTTCGCGCACGTTGTCTGAACATAAGCTGAGATTGAGTCAAATAATTTGGGTCGCCCAAACGATCAAGCAACTTGAGATCTGAATCATCCACAAATTTGTGAATCCCGTCATGAGGTGGAAATTGTACTTGAAGGGGAAGAGAGTCAGAAATATCCATTCCATTACAAATAGCATGATCAAATTCTAGCTTCTCACGAAAAGAATCTTGCACATTATCTTGCTCATTAGAGAAGACACATATTCCTTTTAAAGATTCATGCGATAAACAAATCTCCCTAACGGGGCCATCAAAATCACATATAATGCCAGAATAGTGCAAATCCGATTTATAAAGCAAAGATGATATGGATTCAGATTCCGGGGAGGAGGACCCTAAGTCCGAGCAAAGCGCCTCAAAATCTTCAAATTGCCCTTTCTCCTTCCTTTTGAGAGAAACATCCAACAAAGCCTCACATCTTAACAAGGAAGAGAAAAGGTGTTTGAAGCCAAAACCATTACACCCTTCAGGAATAATGTGAGTAGTTCGCCCCAAGGATCCAAACTCAGTCAAACGAAGAAAGCTGCCAAAACGATTATGATCCAAGAACAATTGAAATTTATGACCCTTTTCATACCCTTGAATTGATGAATCCTCAAAGAAGAATCAACCAACTTAAACTCAAATATTTTACTTTCAATTGAAATAGTGATTGGTTCAGCTGAAGTTGAACCTCCCAGATCACTCCCAGTGTACTTATGGATCTCTTTAAAACTTGACACAGGATAACAAGCATATCTGACTGAATCTAATTCAAGCACATGGCCTATGATTTTTAGAGCACAAAGTGAATCAACATCTGAGGTGGAGGGGAACACTAATAGAGGGGTTGAAGAAACAGAGGCCAAAGTAGAATTGCGCAACCTGGTGTAATATGATTCAATGTTGTGCTCTCTCACCGTAATTTGTTTGCTCTTCGTGCAGATCTTCTATCTATGTGTAATCGTCAGGCACCTCTGCATAAGATTTTCTTATGCCTGAAAATTAACAAAAATCTGCCAAAAAGATGCAGATTCATTGATGTAAGAATAATATTAAAAACTAAAAGTGAGACATTTAATGTATGAGTAATATATACTCCTAATATGTAACAAACTGAAGACATCTATTACTATATAAAAGTAAACGGAAATCGCAACACTATTCCCGCCAAAAAGGTGCACCACAACAACAAATACATCTCACCGTACAGATTAAATCCCACTAAAGCTCTTTTAATAATATTATAGTTTAAAACTGAAAAAGCTCATTGTGAAGAACTTCGCGCAACCAACACCTCCCTTGAGCCATGTGCTAGAGACCGATGTTATATCATAATAAATACAATTGTTTGAACACAGCATTGACTTCTTTATAAATAGTATGTAGTAAATGTTGCTAAATAAACACCATCAAAGAACCTTATCTCTTATTTATGCCATTATCAAACTTCTAAGGTAGCACACCAAGCAAAATTGCAAAAATATCCTAGGGATATATTGTACAGAGTTTGTGTGTGTGTGTGTAAATTCATCTATACACACACATTATATATATCATGTGCTTTAGTGCAGAAGTAAGATTGTGTACATTCGACCCCCCTTACCCCACCATAGGTGGGAGCTTTTGCGGCACTAGGGTAATGATGACGATGAATGACGATGATGACAAAGTCTCTCAGAAGCAAGAATATGATTTTTTGAACAACGCCAAGGAACCCTCATGTTCTAGCTCTGCCCTTCTCCTTAAGCATCTAAGTATCACCACCACTCTCCTTCGCCTTCACCTAATGTACCCGCAATAATGTCCTTGTTGCATTATATAATATGTAAATGCAATTTTCTTTATATTCAAACATGTATACATAATTACATATACACTTATTGGCACACACATTTATAAATTTTACGCACACGTTTATATGAAACAAGATGTATGCCATAGAATCAGAGCTGAGTGGATGAAATGGAAGAGTGCTTCAGGATTTCTATGCAATCGAGGTATGCCGACTAGGGTGAAAGGTAAATTTTATCAAACAGCAATTAGGCCTACATTAATGTATGACATAGATTGTTGGGCGGTGAAGCAATGCCGCATTCAAAAGATGAGTGTGACAGAGATGTGTATGTTGCGTTGGATGTGTGGACATAACAGAAAAGACCGTTTGAGGAATGAGATAATCAGACAAAAGGTGGGAGTAACACCTATAGAAGATAAGATGCAGGAGTCCCGTTTGCGGTGGTTTGGGCATGTGCGTAGAAGACCAAGTGATGCACATGTTAGACGACTTGAGGGGTGGGGAGAAGAGGCAGAGAATAGAGGAAGGGGAAGACCCAAACAAACTTGGATTAGAGGAATCAGAACTGAAATGCGTCTTCTTGGGTTGGGTGAGAGTATGGTTTTGGAGAGAGCAAAGTGGAGGGCGCACATTCGTGTGGAAGATTGATGTCTTTTCTACCTTTCATCTCCTCTTTCTTTTATTGTTTATCTTCTTTATCTTTTTATATTCTTATGTTACTTTTATCTTCTAGCTTTTTTATGCTCTTTTATTTTTTATCTTTTATATTTCTTATATTCTTAAGTTATTGTTATCTTATAATTATTTATCTTTATTTTATTCGTTTTATCTTACTTTTGTTCTTCCCTTTATTTTATTCATTTTATCTTTATTTTATTCATTTTATTTATCTTTGCGGATGACAGTCTGCTTTTTTTTCGGGCAACACATGAGGAGGACTCGGTAGTCCGGGAGCTGCTAAGGGAGTATGAAGACCTCTCTGGACAGATGGTGAACTATTCTGAATCTACTTTATTTTTTAGTTCAAATACACATGTGGGCATAAAAGGAAGGATTGACACAAATGCTTTCCGTTAGTGTTGCTGCTCATGGAGCTTTATATTTGGGACTGCCAATTTCTGTAGGTCGTGGGAAGAAGGCAATTTTGGCTTCCATATAAGGGAGAATATTGTGTGTAGGCTACAAGATTGGAAATGCAGGTTTTTATCAAGGGCAGGGTGGACGGTTTTACTCAAATATGTTATTCAAGCGGTTCCAAATTATGCCATGAACGTGTTCCTACTGCCAAATGAACTCTGTTTAGAATTGGAAAGGTTGATGAATGGGTTTTCGCAGTTAGGAAGTGGGAACAAAGGAATTTAGTGGACTGATTGGAGTGCTTTATGTCGGCCTAAAAGTAAGGGGGGCTCGGTTTTAGAAGAGTTAAACAATTTAATCTTTCCATGCTTAGTAAGCAAGCCTGGAGATTATTCTTATATATTTTTATATATTCAATATTGATCTCAAATGAAAGATCACAGGAAAATTATGAATTTTGATATATATTTTTATAAAAATTGTTGCAAAAATGAAAAAGTTATAACACTTTTAAGAAAATTGGGGTTTTTTATAACTTGAGACTAGGGCTGGCATTTTGAACCGAAAAACCGAAAACCGAACCGAAAATAACCGAACCGTTTTAGAAAAAAACCGAACCGGACCGAACCGAACGAAATTGGGACCCAATAATCGGGACCCGAAAAAAAATCGGTTCGGGTTCGGTTTATGTGCACAAAATATCGGTTCGAACCGAACCGAACCGACATTTTTATATTAATAATAATAATTGTTATTTATAATAATAATAATAATTAATGACGAAAAATATAGTAATAATATAAACCCGAGTATGATTTGAACAAAGATGACGAGTAGCGGAGTTGGTCGTTGTGCTCCTATCCCCAGCAAATGGTCGAGCGATCAATTCCCGTATGCTGTGTAATGTTTTGTATTTTTAGAATTTGGCTTCTTTCTTCTTCTATTCTGTCCCACACCGGAAAATGAACAGCTTACTACTCCAAAAACTTCAATATAAACCAGGTTCCCTTATTGTAGGCTGCTAAGATACGTTCTAGGCTTCCAATTGGGCTAATGGGGCTCAAATATTGGAAAGTTCCAATGAGCTTTAGTCTACTGAATATTAGTTCAAATTTATTTTTTAAAATTGAGTCGGTTTTTCGGTTCCCGGTAAACCGAACCGAATAATTCGGGCCCCAAAAATCGGTACCCGTTCTTAATACGGTTCGGTTTCGGTTTTTGTAATTTAGTAAACCGAAATATCGGTTCGGTTCGGGTTTATACTAAATCGGTTCGGGTCCCGAACCGAACCCAGCCCTACTTGAGACCCATCAAATACATCTCCCGAGCCCACCCTTCCTTGCCTTCCGTGTTGAGTAAGTTTGGAGTGAAAATAGCCCATGTGACATTCTTATAGACAACGAGTGAATTGAGTAGAACTTGACACCTAGGATTTGTATATATAAATAGACTTGTTAATGGTGAAACTATTATCTGCTTTTCTTAAAGCGGTTGTTACAGACTTTAGGCTTTTAGCTGTTAATAACTAAAGAAACCTTCCAGCATTTTGTCCCAACTCTGATTTCCTAAGGGTGTGTTTGGGAGTTGAGTTTTGGAAGGGAGGGGAAGGTTAATGGGGGTTTATAACCCTCCTTTTTATGTTTGGATGTTTAAAAAATTGGAGGAGATGGTTTTAGACGGCTTTTGTAACCATTCAAAACCCTCCAAATGCTTGACGTTTAAGTTCCTCCAATTTGGAGGGTTTTGGAAGATAATTAACAAGATTATAATTTAAGCTAAATTAAAAATGAATATT